TCTTTGATTGAATATTTAAAATTTGGTTATATATATAGATATTTTATAAATATTTTATATAGATTTTTTTAGATTTACATATTAACTATACAATTTTTTATAGCTTCATATCAATTTTTATACATTTTGATATATTTTTTTAATAGATTTTTATGGTTAAAATATGTTGTTAAATATTTTTAAAAATTCTTTTATAAATATCTGTAAGTATTCACCAATATTAAAAAAATATGTAGTAATCACGTAATAGATATCCATGCTTATATGAGAATGAATGACAAATATTTATTCTACGAAGAACATAACAAAGAACTATTACTCATATTGTTCCATTAACATCCCCACGTAATCATTTTAAGCAGGCAAAATAAAAAGAAAAAGAAAAAAAAAACTCCACTTTATCGGGAAAGTGTTACAAATCCAAGTTTTAAAAAGCACTTTCTAAAAAGAAAACTTACATATGAGAAAGAAATAAAGCATACAATAAAATTTAGGACAAATGTCAATCACTATATATTCCACTCAATCACACGAAATTTCTGAAAGTTGAATACTAATATAGTGAAAACTTGAAATATTTTTTAGTGGAATCCTAATCTTGAAATTATTCAAAATGCATGATGAGTAAAGATGAAATATGATTTGTTTGATATGAAGCACTTTTCTTTAATGTCTTTGGCTGTACAAGGTGCTGATTTTGACTTCTTTGGTCAATTTATATATACATTTCTATATTGAAGACTTGAATATCCATGGTTGATTAGCAAACATAGTGCCATAGCTTAGTTTGAGATATTGTACAATTTTTTCACTTAAATTCCTCCACCTTTTTTTAGAGGTGTATTCAACAAATGACCATTGAATCCTCCATTGAAACGTCAATAAAGAATTTTTTTTCTTTCATTTACTTTTATCTTGCAAAAAATCCAGAGTGGTTCAATCACTGGTCTTTGTTTGGTGTCTTTATATTGTCTCAGGTTGATTCATTGGGTATATGTTTTTAGAATGGTTTTCTTGTATTATTCACTTATATATGCCTATTATAAATAGTTATTATAATTTTCCTATGATAGTTCAAAACCAAACATATTTTTATGATTTTAATCAGGTATAATATGATCATCCGGTTAGTTTAAGATTAGACAACTCCATTAAAAAATTGAGTGATTAACCTTAAACAAAAGTTAATATTAAAGATGATTACATTAAATCTAAGTATGACTATTACTAATTGAATCGTGATTAAGTTAATATTAATCTAAAACTCATTTCGAAATTTATAAATAAAGATTTAAAGTATTGTATTAAGTTGATTATATTTAACACATTTATTGTTAATATAGTTGAATTCTTATTAATTTTGATACAAGAAAACCTTATCTAACTAACTTCTGTCAACCAAACGGTAATAAGTATAAAGTAAAAAAAAAAACTTTAACTTTAATTTGAAATTAGAAGAACGGGTTAAGAAGAAAAATTAACTTCGATTTCACAAATCGAAACTGTAAAGATAGAAATAATTTTTATGACTCTGGATTTGTAAGGAAGGTATGATAACTGGTTTTTGTTGCATGAAAATGTGACGTGCTAAGAAAGAGAGAAAGTACAATGTACTATAAAGAATAAGAAGACAGCAACTAATTTTCCAAGCCTCAGATATTTAAATGAATAGAAAACAAAAACTACATAAAAACAAAGTTTTTATGTGTTCAATACTTTTCTTATAAATAGAAAAAGAGATAAATATTTGTTTCCACTTTTCAATATGTTTAATCTAAGAACAGTGTGAGGAAATAATTCTAATATTTGTATCTTAAATACCTTATTATATTTGAAGTTATTGCAATACCCTTAATAACAGTACATGTCACTTAGGAATCAATGGGTAATTTAAATATATTTTGTTTTTCCATCTAATGTATTTTTTTAATGAAAAAATTGTGATATATAGAATTTTTAGTGTCAAAGTCAACAATATCTCAAATATATTTATTAATCTTGATAATTTTATCTCAACGAAAATTAAAATTAAAATATGGATAATTTATCTTTTTGTGAAAGAATATATTTTTTTAAACAGAGGTTAAAGAATATTGTCAAGCAATATTCATAGTGTGAAATTTATAGAAAGTTGTCAAATAATTGTTATCCAAGTAATTTAGAAATACATACATATAAAGTTATACAAATAATTTATAATTTTGTATGTTAAAGAAAATCACATTATTCACATATAATTTTCTCATAATTAATCTATACTATGACGTCGTTGAATGTCTCTAACACTTGTGAAAATTTCTTTATCAATTTTTTTGTCTATGGAAAGATGGTTAAAGATTTTCTATATACAAAATTACAGGCCAGGTTGAGGATTTATTAACGATAACTTGTAATAAAAAAAGAGAAGTTGGAGTCACTAAAATAAGTGATAAAAATTTTCATATAAGTGATAGTTAAATAATAAAATTTTAAAATTACAAGCTTATACGTGACTAAAACTAAGAAAGGTGTTGGAATAAGATAAGAGTCATATAATCTAATTAAGAGGGATATTTAGTGAAAAAAATCGAATTAATTTTTTTTTTAATTTTAAAAATTGAATATACCAAAATAATTTAAAACGAACTCATTTGAAAGGATAGAGAGTTAAAACTTAATTAAACCTTTGTAATATATATATTCCTGTAATTTAATTTCTGTATATTAATGCTCTTAATTATTTGTCCTTTATTTATTTTTATCTTTAATTTCATTGTTTTTCAAAATTATTAATAATAAAATTATATTTAAATATAAACGATTTAAAATATAAGTGAAAATGTGTGTGTGTGTAACGTGTGAAATGCACATCGAATGATCGAATGCAAAATATTTTAGCAATTTGTTGAGATAACAAAAATACTAAATCTAAATTATATATTTTAATTTATAACATGATACTGTAAAAAAATATGTAACAGATTCATACTGAAGATTCAATAAATCTAAATATATCAAACAAGCACATTTAATCATATTCAGATTTACAAGAATAAAAACGGAAGCAGAAAAGACCAACCTCCAGCCATTGTTATACGCTTGCCTAATTTCTGGTTTCTGAACCCTTGCTCTTAAAACACGATGGTGATGTATATATGAAGGAAAGAGTAGGCTCAGTGACCTGATATGAAATTTTCTGAAAGAGTCTGTATATTACTCCAAAAACCATCACAGAGTATATAACGTTAAAAGAGATTGTGGTGGAGAATCATGGGCACGTTTTTTAAAAACGGTTTTTTTTATCTTAAAAAATAAATGGATCACTTTCAGAATATATATTAACTGCTTTATAATATTAACTGAAAAGGAATAAAAATAAATGTGAAAGATATAATATTATATAATATAATATTAAAATGTAATCTCTCTTCTGTATAAGGCTAACAGATACTGAATATACGGTTTATTTATAGTTTAAAAAAAAAATAGAGTACTCGAACTCATGTTAAGAATGAAGACATGTTTTGAAAATAAAAGAAAAATCTAGTTCAAATAAAAAAAATGTACTTTTTAGTTTCTTCGATATGATATGTTAAAATAGACGGGCCAGAGTCCAATTGCCAAATCTGGACCTCATCCCATCAAATTTCTTTCTATTCTCCATCACGAAAATATAAATTCTAACTTTGATCTGAAATATGTGTGGTTTTTCCAAAAATACATTTCCGAAATTGGTAAATATATTCCAAAAAAGATATTTCCAAAACTAGTTCATTATGTTTCAAAAAGTAAAAATTCACATTTGATGTAGGAAAAATATTGATGGTGCAGGAAGAAGCAGCCTGCAGCCGAAGGGACTTCGACACACTTTTTACCTCTCATTTTCTTTCACCTCCCATAATGTAAAACCAAGTAATTTCTTTTTTTCTTTGGCATTGCACAATTTTTTTTTTTAAATATAGTGTGTTGTATGATCATTCACTTAACTACAATTTGAATGGTTAACCATCACATACAACAAGGTTATTGAGTTTAGATAATCAAGTAAAAGCTTAAACAATCACATAATAAATCGAATAATTATATATCATACTGGATGACCACCTAAATCATTCGAATGACAATGTGTTAAGCTCGAATGATCATCTAATAGATTGTCCGATCACACATAGGACTTCTTTCGGTCTGAAAAACACCAAATCAAATGAATCTTACAATCGATTAATTCAAAGTTAAAACATGATTACTAAAATTTGGGTCATAGTTAGATCAACCTTAATTAAAAGCTTACAAAAAAAATTTATAAATAAAATTTGAGATAAGAAAACACATTAATTATAACATTCATTGCTATATGTTTAAGTTGATATAACTTTAGTATTAGAGTATCTTCTCCTAGTACGATTTAAACAGTTTTGACACAAAAAAACTTGAACCTTAATCGAGACATTAAAAATCGAATAATTGACCTTAACCCATACATGAAATATATTGTTTCCTATAATAAAATCTAGAATATAATTATAAATAATATAATATAATCTAAATAAATTTCAAAATAAAATGATACAATTAAAAAAAATATATGTTGTATCAATCTTTTATACTTGTTGATAAATTAGTTTTAAATATAATATAATATTCTCTAAATAAGTTAACACTTTTAATTTAATATATAAGTATCAAAATTGCTTAAAAGTAAAGTATTTTTTAATTACAATATTTAAATGTAAAATTAATATTATAGCATTAGTTTATGCTCGGGAAACTAGTCAACAAAGTAGTTAAAATTAAAAGACGATAAGTTTGTTAATTAAATTTATATGATATCAAAATAATAGAATGTACAAAATAACATAGAAAGACTGAATTAGTTACCTGCTTACAAACATAAAATAGAGATTTTCTTTTTCTTACAGTTATTATTTCATTTTTTACGCATTCAAAAATTAAATAATAATTTTAAAAATCAATTAATTCTATTATTTATTCTTGCAAAAATGTTAAAAAACCAGAATAACACAGAGAAATCAAATATGGGTTGAGCGGGAAGTGAGTGAGGGTTTTGGTGGGAATATGGATTTTGGATGTTCAGAAGTGAAGGTGTGGAAGGAAGCACTCGCTGCATACCAATCTCGAATTCAAACGCTCTCTCTCACAAAAAACAAACCCAATTTGATTTCTCTCGATGAATTCTACTGCAACCAGCTACCTTCCATCCTTCGCCAACGAAACCCTAACCCCTTTCTCACAACTTCAGAACTCTCCAGTCTCATGCAATGGAAGCTCACGCGCGGCAAGTGGAGGTCACTACACACACACACACACTCTCTCTCTCTCTCTCTTTCTCTATATGATACCATAGTGATTGTTTGGGTACGATTTTGTTTTGGTTGAATTTTTTCAGGCCGCGTCTGTTGGATTTCGTTTCGTCCCTAGACGACGCCGTTGTGAAATCCGCTTCTGAGAAGGCATTTCAGAGCCTTCCCGATGTTTCGGAAGCCGTCGCTGAACTCACTGTATTGAAAGGCGTTGGTCCCGCCACCGCCTCTGCCGTTTTGGCTGCTTTCTCTCCGCACTTAACCCCTTTCATGTCTGACGAGGTCCATTACTCTGTTAACTTGTTCACTGAACTACAATTTTAGTCATTCAAATTATCGAAATATCAAATAAATGATTAATCTCTCACATCTACTGCTTACTGTTATTGTAATCCATTCTATAACTTACCCTTATAATTATTTGACATATTTATTTATTTTTTTGACATTTTATAATTTTAGGGACACTTAATTAGTGTTGTTATTAATAGAGTAACTAATTCCTACATCAAATTAAGTTTATAATAATAATAATAATAATAATAATAATAATAATAATAATAATATACAATAATAATAATAATAAACATTTGCAAAAGGGAGAGTTCAAAAGTTAAGACTCCTATCCCTAATTATTGATTGGGGAATATTAACGAGTAGTCCTTTAGTAGGTACAACTATCTTAATTTTACAAAATCGACTTACAAAATTATAAAATAAGGTTTGCACTATATATTCTAAACTAGTCTTGTTACTGATCAACGTAGAACTTCCAACAATGTTTTAAGAATCGGGTAAGCTGAAGAGTAATCTATGTATGCTTTTCCCCTAAACTCATTGATACACTTTTTAAGGGTAAACTAAGTTCCACTGGAACAGACAATAATAATTTACTCCAACAATATTATATGAGCGGGTGGACTTTAGTTCGGAACTAATAATAATAATTTCTATTCTTACAATTATGATTGGCTAATGTGTAATTATATGGACAATATATAAAAAGTAAGTTCTTATTTTTGTTTGTGATTACTAATAGAGTGCATTGCAGGCTATGGAGGCAGCTCTTGGAAACTCAAAAGATTATTCTCTGAAGCAATATCTAAAGTTTGTAGATAAGTTGCAGATGAAAGCGAAGGTATTGTTCTGTGCCTTTCAATGTGGGGATTCATCCTTTTTGTTTTATGTTTTAATGTAGGAAGATGGGAATTAGTTGATTGTAAAGTATTTGTTGATTGTAAAAGAAGGGAATGTTATGCTGATGAAAATAATTTTATCGAATTGAAAAAGTACTCTTTGTTCCAAAGGGGGCTGTGATTACCAACATATTGTCCTAGGTTTTAGTTGAAGTTGCGTCGTGGTTCTTGAAAGTGTAAAAAATTATAAATAAACGTTGTTGATGCTACCATGATTGTAGCCGTAATGCAGTTATGTAGACTCCAAAAACTTCTCTGCAACTGCAATCGAGACCATTTTTAGACACTTGATATTATCTCTCTTTTGGGTTTGATTTTGGCATGAATTTGGTGCTGAGATTGTTAATGTGAAAATATTTTGTCATAAGGTGTGGACTAGAACCATAGATGAAGTTGCTATACCCCGCTTACATCCTAGGAATTTGGTTGTGGTAATTTGCAGGAACTAAGTTCAGAAAGTGACTCCTTTACCCCATCTGATGTAGAAAGGGCGTTGTGGAGTTATGCTGCGGGGAAATCATCATCAACGCAATCAAATCAGGACCCTAAGACCAAACCAATCAAGAGCTCTAAAAGGAAGAGAAAAAATTGACATTAGTAGCAGAGCAACAATGAATTTACAATGTATGTTCTTACTAGAGTATGATAGTTATTGCCTTGTTATGTTGGGTGTTCTTCTACATTAGACAGTACTAATCACTAATTATTATCAGGTATTTTCGTTTTAAATTATGGCCAAATTAAAGTTTCATGTTTTCTGTTGACATTCTCTTATCGCAAATAGAGAAGTTATGCTGACACAAATATCAGGTAGAGATGGTGTGCGTTTTGGTTAGTGTATGTAGATTGATATTAAAACTTGTTATAAGTGTTTTTGATTCAAAATATCCACATTTGCTTAAACGCAATTAATGTTAGAATTAAATATCAATTCTCAACACGAAATAGAAAAACAGAATATTTACTTATCTCATCATAATTTGATTGATTAAATGTTAATCCAAACACGCTCATCAGTATATAGCTCCTCTTGTTAGTTAATATGCTTCGTTCTCTAGTAATTTGACTTTATAAATTCCATAACATCTTAAGAGCACCATGCAATAAAATAGGTGGTACTTTTATTTGAAATATAGGATGCATATTAAAGACGTTATTAAGTTTCATGTCGTTAATGATTTATTATTATTGTTATTGATATTACTATTAGTAATTTAGCATGAATTCTTTATGAAACTTTTCTTTGATATCTCCCAAATTTATCTTGAAATTTCTGTACAAATCAAATCTCAGTCATGTGACATTAAGACTTTGTTAATATTGGAACCTCCTAAAACAAGATAGCCACCAATCAGCAGCTATGCGTTGCACCAAAACAGAGAAAAACTATCTATCGCCTTTTTGTTTAGAGTAGCCATGTATGTAGTTGATAATGTGTGAACAAATTCATTTTATTTGCGTTAGCACTGTAACTAAATATGAGAAAAGTTCCTGCATATAGCAGCTTTGTTTACATGGTAAAACCATGTATGAAATGATGATCAGTCAAAACTGATTCATATCTACTGACCAAAAAGTTTATTCAAGTACTCCTTACTCATTAATCATTGTTACCAAAATGGAATTATGGTGGCTCAAGTAAAGGGCCAAAACCCCATACATAATAATCTTTAGTTTGTAGTTCTGTCTCTCTTTGGGCTCTGTAGTTTACACACACAAAGTTGATAAACATAAACATAATCACGATCATCACACTTTCCCTCTTTGACCATAAGTTTGGCGAAGCCCCAAAGCCCACCACATTCACCTACTTTCCTGGAAACATGACATTGAAGGCGGCTTTGACATGTTCTCTGGCTCTGTGGTCAACCTCTTCCCCTCCGCCATTGGTGCTGGCATCAAGCAACTGGTGCTGGTATGCTTGTGCTGTACACAGGCGTTTGGTGGCCTTGGTTGGAATGTATTGTCGCTTTGCTTCATCATAAACAATGTTGCAATGCTGGTCGTGTAAATGGTTATCATAGGTATAATATTATCATATTTCATTATCATTGTAGTTGTAATTCACATTGTCTTTTGGTTCATTGTTTCGTGGGTGGAATCAAATCATGTATTGAATCGTTTGAATTTTTCTTTCATGTGAAAAGTTGATTTTGGAAACATTTGAAACTTCAACTATGTACATTTAATGGTTAAGCGGCCTTTCCCAACACAGAATTTCTTTTTCCAAGGTTTTGAGATTTTTTTTCTGGGTCAGAGTTTACTTTAAATGAGCATGCCCACTTTAAAGTTAGACAGGGGGCTAAAATTAAATTTCTGTACTAAAGGATACGGACATATTATGAAAGATGAATTCTGAAAATTATATATTTTTTTAAAAAGTTATTTAAAAAGAGCAATTATTTGTATTTGAGCTTTGGTTTATCCAAGGTTATATTTAATTGGGTAGTTTTTAGTGTTTGAAGATAGAGGCAAAAAATGTTGTAACTAAAATTTTTTGTGACTACCGTCTTTTGACAGGTGATGTGTTCTGAAGATCATGTTCATGAGTGCACAATTCAAGGGTTTTGGAAGAATGATTTGATCAATGCTGGTGCCTCTTTTATCGTTCAGGTGTTTGAGTACGGCTCTTCCCTCCCTTTACTTTTACAACATTGATTTTTTTTACATATACAAAAGACATGTTTTTTAATTGAACTTTTCTTTTTGGTTGTGCACATGATACATGCACCAAATGATAGTTAACATTCATGAAATAGACATTGATTAGCTCTTCCCTTACTTCAGCTGTATGATTTTCACATGATGTTCCCTGAGATACACCTCAGCATTGCCTGTGGGTTTCCTATTGTGTTTGTGGTGATAACAGCCGGTGTAACAATTGTTAAGTTTAACGATTGAAGCATTGAGATGCCATGATTGATGCCAGAGTTCATTGGCCTTGAGTCTTTTTTGAATCTTTTCACTACTATGCCTATATTAGTCTTTGCTTGCATCTGTCTTCATAATGGTAAGGGTCGTGTAAGGTGGTAGGTTATCCTGTTTGTTGTCAATTATTCTCTTATTCAATAAATAGTTATCAATAATTGCATTGCAATAAAAATTTTTGTATACACTCTTTATTTTCCTTCCAAATTTGATCTAGTTATTTGATTTATGTTGGGTATTATAATGTTGAGTTAAGCTCCCACTTATTTGTGTAAAAGTCCAAACTAATCAAGCTCAATTTGTCTCACTTAACTTAAGTGGAGAGGGAATTTTTAGGTTAAGAGTGTGTTATTTTCGCAACCTTTAGAAGAGAGAAAAAATTGGTTGGCATATTCATCGTATCACAGTAAAATTGTGAATATTGTTTCCATCATCATTGGATCGAGCTGAAATTTTGATAGTATTAATTTCTTGACAAGTCTATCAAGTCATAGAAGTAGTAAATGGTAAGACTAAGTATAATTTTCCGAAGGGACTTGTGTAATACTAGTCAACTATATAATTAAGAACCTATCTAGACTAAAGAATATTTTCATAAATTTGGTGTTATGTGTAAGAAAGTAAAGTTATGCATAAACGATTAAAATCAACTTTGGAAGTTTATCACACTTAGAAGATGGAAATATTAGAAATGATATGGAATGGTATGATTGAGATTAGATTTCACCGACCGCACTCTCATGCACTTAATCATTCAACTCCTCTCCTTTATAATGTGAATGTCAATACACAAATTTATTCAAACCCTAATAATCCCTTAGTAGATTGAGTCTAAATTTCCTTTTTAGAAGTCAATTCCTTGAACTCCTAACAAACAAACATGCTTTAACAACTAGGGTTTAAGATAACTAATGAGTCAAGTTTCATTCCTTGATACAAGTTTCATTAGGTATAACTAGGGTTTAAGACAACTAATGAGTCAAGTTCCATTCCTGGATACAAGTTTCATTAGGTATTTTGTTTTAGCTTTAGATTTCAAAAAATATTTTTTAACACCTAATGAATCACACATCAAGTCATGGGTGATCAAACCATAACAAACATTAAGCAAAGAACCAATAAATACTAACATTTAATGGAAAGACATATATATATATATATATATATATATATATAATGTTGTCAAAACAAGTTAAAATCCCTCTATACATAAGTTACGTGAGCAAAAATGGATTTAAGTTTGAACTTTTTAGATATATAGTTGGGAGTCCAACTCATGATCAAGAACGTATTATGCCTTTTATGTTAACAATGGTCCTATAGGTATATTTAAGGGCAACATACATTCTCTTCCATTGAGCCTAACATGTTTAAGTTATTAGGTGATGACTGCTAATTAACTCATAATCTTAACTACTTATATATAGTTATGTCATGTCTGATCCAAATTAATAATTTTCATTTCTCACAAGATATGTAGTTTTACTAATTCTGTACATAGTTATCAATCATTGTATTGCAATAAAAAAACTTTCATTTGCTGCTTTAATTCCCTAAAATGTATGGCATGACATGATTCAGTTTACCATGTTTTGAATTCTAATGCAGTTTATACTATAATGAATTCGAAGATCCTTCCCAAATGAAGGCCATAGTCCGGACCATTACTGTGCTCATCTGTGCACATAGTAACCACCTTATTTGGTTTTTTCTTATGTGGGGACAGAACATTGGGTGATATCTTGGAGTACCTTATGGTTCTTTTCTTACTGATATAATTTGAGTGAGCTATGACATTAACCTTATTCTTGTGTTTCCAATTGTGTTTTTGTCCTTTGACCTCAAACCTAGGTGGTCTTCGTTTCCACATGCCATTCCTCTTGTCTATGACACCAAGAGATTCTATTTTGTAAGCACAGTTCTCATGGCTTGCATTTTTGTTGAAGCCAATTTTGTTTCCAGCATCTGGGATGCCTTCCAGTTTCATAGGGGCCACAGCTGCTATTTCTGCTGGAACATTTTTCCAGCTGCTATTGCTTAGGTATATGTATGCATGGAAAAGTTCTTCAATATACATGAGAAAAAGATAACAACTATAAATGCATTGAGTTTCTTCATGAACTAAAATTAACTGCGAATGCGAGTTGACATTCGGTTTATGTTCATATTTTTTCATAAACTTTAAATTCTAAATCTTAAACCAACTTTATCCAAACATAGATATAAGTATCTCTTGAAATTGATATGTGACATCTCTACATCTTCACCATAGTGCTCAATCTTCAATTCCTCGTAGTACATAGTTATTTTTTTTAACAGGGATAGTCGTGGGGTTGCAACAAAGAAAGTCAAGTTAACATTAGTGGCTTGTATAGTGTCTACAGGAGTAGCACAAAATTTAATTGGGTATTACTTCCTGCACCTATTCATTTATTGAATTTCCACTTTTGCCCTTGTTTGAAAGTTACTTTCCAAAAATGTAATCCGGAAATAGAAAATATATTTTGAAATTTTGTTTCCAGAAAAAGAAAAATATGTTTTCAGAAATTTTTTTCGAAATTCTTTCTAGAAATCTTTTCTCTGAAAATTTTCAATTTCTTTTTTGAAACGAATTATTTTTGGGATAATGACTTATCAATTCCGGAACTTTTTTTTTGGAATATATTTTTGTCCCTTTCGGAATCCATTTTATGGACAGGTTTTTCTCCTTCTGGAATCCTTTTTTTTCCCTTCCGGAATCTATTTTCCAGTCATCCACATACCTCTTCCGGTATCCATTATCCGGACCACACCACCGCACCTTTCCGAAAGCTTCAAATAAAACTCAAGGGCAAAAAAGGAATTAAATAAAATGATAGGGTCGAGGAAGCAATTGTGAAATTAGTTTGATGGTGTTGGGTGTGGTAGATGTGTGGTGCTTGCGTTTAACAGAAGCAAAGCTTTATGCAAATTCAACCCTTCAGATTACTCAATAAAATTTTGCTGTAAGTATAGATTTACTACTTATTTTAAATATATTTTCAAATGTGTTCTTGATTATCAGATAAGAAAAAAATTAGTATTTTAGCTCAGATGACACAAGCTAAGCTGGAGAAAAAGGGTATAGACACGATTTGCCCGTTTTTAATAAAACGGGATGAGGCAATGCTGCAATAACAGATCTGGGTGACATTTGCTTAAATGCTTTAATTGTGAGCTGTTTATTGTGATGCAAACAAATAAACTCAAGTTGGTACTTATTGTGATTTATCAGAGATAGATATATATATATATTTCACTCTTTTTAACTTAAAGTTAAAATTTAGACTTAAATATTTTTTATTCAACAGATTTGAACTACTTTTCTTACTTTCTAAGTTTAAAATTAGTTAATTTGGTTCTTCAATTTTAATAATGTTTTATTTTCTATTTTTAAGGTAATTTCTCATTTTTAATTTTGTTGTAAAGACAAAAGATGCGTCATTTATAAACTAGGAGATGAAAATAATAATTCTTAATATTGGGGAATTAAATCAAATGTAGATCTAAGTTTAGTATAAACAAGATGTAAGTCTTGCACTTATAAATAGATATATTAAATTGAGATATAGTGTTATTTTAAACAATAACAATTTAAAGTCAGACTCAAAGACAAAAAAAAAAAAAAAACACACACACACACACACACATATATATATATATATATATATATATATATATATATATATATATATATATATTATTGCATGTTGATAACATGACAATATGTGAAGAAAGAAGGTGTTTATATTTGAATTGCTGCAGCAATAGCAAGGAAAAAGAATGAGGAAAAACTGGATAATAGATTGTTATTTGAATTTTCTGGAGAGATACAGCAAAAACCACATTCAAGCGTGAACAGTTTGGCTTGAATTATAAAGTAAAATGAATGAAATCAATATATACATAGGGGCATAGGAAGGTAGCATATGGAATGAGTTTGAGCTACAAAATTGGAAGTAGGAGTAAATAAAATGCTAAACGTTGACGTATGGAGTGGTTAATTGAGTGCAACTTGGTGCCCTTCGGCAAGGATATGGAGCAAGGTTGAGCAGTTCCTTCCTCTGAGAACGTTTCTTCCTTTTCTTTGCATCAGAGTGTTCTGGTTTCTTCAAATCCTCCACAGAGTGTACATCTTCCATGCAAACAAATGATCTTGATTTACCAGAGTAATACCTAGACAATCCTCTCCTGTTCATGCATGCAATCAAATTTTCAAACACAGAAAACACATTAATTAATATATATTCTTCAGAAACACCTCTTACTATTACTTTTGTGGAAAGCTGGTTCCAAGAGAGCCCATGTTCATTATCAAATTGTCAATTTCTTGGTCCATATTCACGAGAGGCAATGGAAGATGAAAATGCTCTGAGAAGCTCAATTCTTAGGAAAAGAGTTTGCTTTGGGGTTGAATAAATATTGTACATTTTTTAAGCAAAGGATGTAAAAATTACCAATCTTTTCTACACTTCCTCCTGATCATTCAAGATGCTACTATTTTTGCCTGAAATGCATGTTTTTTAAGCTTAATCTACCCTCTTTTTCTCTTCATTTCTGATTTTAGAATGTTACTGCAACAATGGAAAATGGCTAAGAAGAGGAGGCTGCCACAACCATCCATTTCAGAGACCAAACAAAGCTTTGCCAATACTCACCTCACTCATCTACAATTTTTCTTTCACATCACCAATCAAAGCATAGGTAATTCCGATGTGTTACTAAACTTTTCATAATAACTATGTCTCACTGTTTTATAACTACGTATGAAACTAACACTAATCACAAGCCACACATGAACATTGTAAAAAGGTTGTAAGAACAAAAGTGGTTAAAAAAACATTTTCTTTTTCTTTTACATAATTAAAATATGGACAATGATATGTTACCAACTTCTCTTAACAAACTTTAGACAATAAATTATGTGTCATTATTTTATTGATATAAATAAATAAATAATAGACTATCACATAAATTATTGTAAAAAATTATTAAAAGAAATTGTTGAAAAAACATTTTCCTCAAAATATTTAGTAAACAATAATATTTTTAAATATATAATTAAATCATAATTAAAATTTATATATAACAAATAAATATTCTTACAATATAAATTGTACTTTATAATATTTAATAATGTTAAATAAGCATATTTTCCCTGAGTAATGAAAATAACAAAAAATAAATATAATATTTCATCATGAAAGGAAATGAAAAAGAGAAGAAAAGAAAACATTTATTATTTGAATGTAACTTTCTTGGTGTAAGAAGAAGCGAAGTTCTTTAAATATGATTCCAAATTCTTTTTGCGAAGATGAAAGAGTAACACAGAAGAAAGAGTTGGTCAGTTAATGGGTTGTTGGTTGTTGCTGTAACTTCGAGATGTCGGAGGTGACAGATGAAACTGAACGACGTCGTTCGGCGGAGACTCGGTATCGCAAAAAGCTTTTCCTTCTCAGAGCTATGGGAAGCGTAAGAGGATTAGGTCGCCGACCAATCCTGTTTCTTTTCTTTATCTTTTTTCACCTTCAAGTTTATGCAGTTTCAAATCTTTTTCATTCTTTTGATGTTGTTTGGACGACTGGAATTGCGTTGTACTCAGTGAGATTGTTGGAGGAGGCTTTAAAGAGCAGTCTTGCGAAAACTGAGCAAGACCTCAGGTACTTGGAAGGTGCTGCTTTTTGGGTTGGTCGTGTTGTAAGGCCTAATGGCAGTGAACGCTGTAAGCATATACTCATGCATGCATGCATGCATACATATAACTTCTTTTCTACGTTCAAGATTCAGCAAATAGCTTATTATTTAATGTTATAACTTGTTTGGGGGATTGGTTAGAGATGAATTAAGCAATGCAAGCTTTTTTACTCCTTTCAGTTATTGTAGAATCAGAAGTTGGATTTAGATATATAGTTGACTATGATAGGAAGGTGGACAAGAAGAAGATAACTGAAGAAACAAGAGTTTTCCTGCACAAGAGGACGCTGACCATAATGGGAATTCTTCCTCGCCAAGTATACATTTCCATAAGCCATTATTCTTGGATTAGATAGTTTATTGTGCTGGGATCGTTACTATTTTACAATATTTTGACATTAATATGCATGCATATGTTATTGAGCATGTGCCAGGTTGAAGCTGAGGTACAGAATATGATTGTTGAAGACCTGGGAAAAGTTAGTTACGCTGCACTTGGAGGGCTTTCTGATCAGATTCGAGAGCTCAGGGAATCGATAGAACTGCCTATGGTGAATCCTGATTTTTCAAAAGGTTGGAATCAGAACCCCGAAGGTATGTTCACTATATGGATGTTTAATTTTGGGAAGATTTTATATTGAACAAATTAAGATTCATGTTATGTTAAAAGGGAAAAAACTACTGATAATGTTTCTCACATACAACGCAGGGTGTTCTTCTTTATGGACCTCCTGGAACTGGGAAGACACTCTTAGCGAGAGCAATAGCCAGCAATACAGATGCTAAATTCTTGAATGTTCAATACCTGTATTCTGTTATCTGTGATTTTTACCTAGTGCTTAATGGGGTACTCCATAAAAGAAGTGTACTTTCTTTTTTTTATTCTAGATTGTAGGTAGTGCTTTTTCGGTTAAATATCTTGGTGAAGGCTCAAGATTGATTAGGAACATGTTTAGATATGCACGCGATCATCAGGTATTGGAAACTTGCATTGCTTAAAAATGACCTTTTTTTTTTCATGCTCATCTGAAATTTGATTTTTACTGTTTGCATCCTTTTGTTTAGCCTTGCATCATATTCATGGATGAGATCGACGCCATTGGAGCACGACGTTTGAGCATGAGCTCAGCCGCTGATCGTGAAATTCAAAGAACCCTCATGGAGCTGCTTGACCAGATGGATGGATTTAATCAGCTAGAAAGGGTGAAAGTCATTATGGCTACAAATAGGCGTGATATTCTTGATCCAGCCCTTCTTCGCCCGGGTCGACTTGATTGGCAAATAGAAATACCATTACCAAATAAGAAGTCAAGGATGCAAATCCTCAAAATCCACGCTGNATATGTATATAAGACATATATATATATATATATATAAATATTTAATTTAGATATTGAGTTTTTAAGTTATAATATAAGAGTAGATATTATTTTTATTCTTTGAAATACTATTTCTCGATTCAATATTTACTTTTAATTTTATTTTATTTTTAAATGGTTATCAATTATGTTAAATTTAATACATTTTTCTTTTGAAGTAAAACTATTTTTCAATGCTACTACAATTTTGATTAATCTTAATTTAACTTTTAAAATTTAACATATCACAATGAGATGAGTACAAGCTTTGTTTTTCTTTTTCGTATACTTATCTCTCTCTCTTTTAATATTGTCAACATGTAGTTATTTTTTCCTTCTATCTATTATCATAAAATTTAACTTGAGAGCTAATCAAGTTTTGATTGAATTTGTTTATGATTTTTTTTTTCTCATTACCAAAAGTATTTCTATGGAACATGAAGATTAATCTTTAACCCTGTATTTTCAAGAATCGGGAATCAAACATCAATCACTTTGGTTGTATGGTATTTCCTATTTCTATTAATATCTCCAGACGTACTATAAATTTTTAAATATAAATTGTATTTATAATAGATGTGCACAATTCAAAAGTTTGAAATGGCTAAAATCTATAAGTAGCTAATGTTACTTATTTACCATATTCATAGCTTAATTTGGAGTTGTATGTTTTGTTAAACAAGAAAAAAAAAAAAGTGTAACGGCTGAAACTAAAATAGAAACATAATATATGGAAACAATCGTATTAAATTCACAACATTTAACACATGAAGATATGTGCATCAGTATGTTGTAATATAACTATAATCGATCCAAACAACTTCACACTGTATGTAACTTACATATAGAAAGGTTCAAATTAGGAGTAAACCAAAACACATTCTCAACTCTCTCATGTAACTATAACATATTATACACAACTGAAATTTAATATGAATCTCGTAACATCCACGAAACATAAACAACTAAACACTGAAATTTAAGGAACTTTAGGAAATTTTGTTTAGGTAACTCGAACTTAAGTAATTTAGGAACTTTTGGTAACTCAGACATTTAAGGTACTTTAGGCAATTCTGACTTTGATAATTCAAGAACTTTAGATAATTCGGGTTTAACCAATTCAGGAATCTTAGGCATTTCAGGTGTTTTAGGCAACTCTGTCTTAGGCAATTCCGACTTAGGCAACTCAAACTTAGGTAATTCAGGAACTTTGGTCAATTCTGGAACTTTAAGAAATTCAGGAACTTTGGGCAACTCAAACTTAGACACTTCCGAGACTTTAGGTGAATATAACTTTGACAATTCAGGAAGCTTAGATAATTCGGGCTTAGGCAATTCTGGGATCTTAGGTATCTCAACTTCTTTAGGCAACTTGGACTTAGGCAATTCAGGAACTTTAGGTAACTCTGGTTTAGACAATTCAGGAATTTTAGGCAACCCTGTCTTAGGCAACTCAGACTTAGGTAATTCAGGAATCTTAGGGATCTCAAGTATTTTAGGCAACTCTGACTTAGGCAATTCAGGCTTAGGCAATTCAGGAACTTTAGGCAACTCTGGAACTTTAGACAACTCTGATTTAGGCAACTCAGGAACTTTAGGCAACTCTGATTTAGGCAATTCAGGAACTTTAGGCAACTCAGGAACTTTAGGCAACTCAGGAACTTTAGGCAACTCAGGAACTTTAGGTAACTCAAACTTAGGTCCTTTAGGCGACTCTAACTTTGACAATTCAGAAACTTTTGGTAACTCGGGCTTAGGAAATTCAGGAATGTTAGGCATCTCAGGTATTTTAGGCAGTTCTGACTTAGGTATCTCTGGTACTTTAGGTAACTCTGGCTTATGCAATTCAGCGACTTTAGGCAACTCTGGCTTAGGCAATTCAGGGACTTTAGGAAACTCTGCCTTAGGCAATTCAGGAACTTTAGGCAACTCTGGTTTGGGCAATTCAGAAACTTTAGGCAACTCTGATTTAGGAAATTCAGGAACTTTAGGCAACTCAGGGACTTTAGGCAACTCAGAAACTTTGGGTAACTCAAACTTAGGCACTTCAGGAACTTTAGGCGACTCTAACTTTGATAGTTCAGAAATTTTTGATAACTCAGGCTTTGACAATTCACTAATCTTAGGTATCTCAGGTATTTTAGGTAACTCTAACTTAGGAAATTCAGGAACTTTAGGTAACTCTAGCTTGGATAATTTGGATTTAGGAATTTCAGGAATTTTGGGCAACTCTTTAGATACTTCAGGGACTTTAGAAAATTCTGGTTTAGACAATTCAGGAATTGGTATTTCAGCTATATTGGGCAACTGAGGAACCTTAGGGAGCTCAGGCTTTGGAAATGCAGGGATATGTGATGCTGAGAACTCGGGTTTGGGAAGTTGTGACACTTCTGGTTTGGGCAATGCTGATTCCAAAAGAACACGTGCTCCAGCAACCTCCGTGTGGCTGCTTGCTGACAACATCAGAAACACAAACGAGAAAATCACTTTAGACAAACTACATGTCCCCATGATTGAATACAAGAACTTGAGAAGAATCTATAGCAGAAGAAGATTTTCACAACAGTTTAGAAATGCTCTGTGAATGCACACTGCTGATTTGCATTGCAGTGTGTAATGAGACTTTTATAGAAGAAACTATGGAGCCTGCCACGTGAGTTGGTGGGAATGATACGGTGTAAGTATTGTTTGTTTGCTCAACTTCTTACCCACATTGTAACCCTCAATCTCATACCAAACTGTAATCAGAACCGTTGTTGTTCACCTAATCTGTTGGAAGCAGATGAAGACATTTTAGTCACCTTTGAGTTGAACTGTTAAACAACAAAAGTCAATGTTCTAACGTCAAAGATCCACAAAACCAAGGATCAACAGTGATTTTTGGCAATATAAATAGTTTCTTGCAAGCTTTCTTTCTGTTTGTTTCGTCAACAAAACCAGACTCCATTTCAACCCCAATAAACTGTGATAATTAACAAGCCATTATTATCTTTGAAACGTACAGAAGCGAATCACAGGTTTGCAGCAGAAAAAGCAACCTCGTAACATTAAAAACTTAGCTGAACAACATTTAACCATTTCGGTACACGTTTCACATCTATAAACCTTATATTTACTTACATATTTGGTTGCTGTTCTTCTTCTAATATTTATTATGTAAATTATGTCATCGACTTATAAATGTCGTGTGGTCCAACATTGTAAATTTCGTATTAAATATTTTAAAATCATATCTTATGCTGATGAAAAATAAATTAATATGCAGTTTCACTTACAATGTATTGATATTCAATTAATAGTAATTTTCTTACATGCTTATGTTTCATATTTTATAACCTTTATTTTATTTAGAGTACGTATTTTTAATTGAATAATTGTATAAAGTTTATTTATTTTAAATTTTAATTTTATTTTGTTAGGTAAAGGACAAGTATTTTAGAATTTCTTTTAGAACTAAGTTACCTATATATTTACTACACAACGATATTGATTAAAAAAAACACAAGAACAAAGTTTATTTCATGAGAACATTTTTAATATAAAAATAAGTACAGGAATAATAAAAAATATTAACTTATTACAAGCATAAATTTTAAATACAAATACAGTATTTAAAATGCAAGAGATAAAAAGTGTAAATATTGTTTAAAAATATCTCAAAAGATGAGTGTAATTTTCTCTAATTCATACATTGAATTGTAATCAATTTTAGTCAATTTTGACAGATATAAGATATTTCGGAAAAAAATTAACAAAGTTTAATGAGTTCAACAACCGTATCAGCTTTATTTATACTATGAATTAAATAGAAATCAAGTTTATATTTTTTTATTCATAAAAAATGATGACATTTAAGAGAGTTTATAACAATTCAAGTAAGATGTTCAACCAACCATACCAGTGAACTTGACAATTAGAAATGAAATTTGATTTTACTTTTGAGAATAAAAACCAACAAAGGTATCATGCCTGTGAACAAATATGACAGCATAAAACCATTTAGATTTTCAGTCATTATCCTATTTTCTCTTTAACAAGCTGGATCAGTGAAGAACACATCAAGTTATATAAAGAACATCATAAAATGAAAAAAAAGAAACACCAATATTTGAAGCACTGATCTACATAAACAATCTCTCACCACCATCATACAAGTTGCAACATTTTCACCCTTGCAAATAGATGCATGCACTAAGAAGCTTCTCTCATTAGTTACATTTTCTTTTGAAAAGAAAAACATAAGAACACCATAAACCCTTGCAACACTGTTGAAACTTGAAAACAATGTGCTTCAAAAATCTGAACCTGGCAACTCTATACATAATAATAATAATAATAATAATAGTAATTCAACAAAAGTAATGATAGTTGCACACACTTTACTAGCATGCTCCTCAAAACACTGCTCTCCATGCCATTAAACAAGACCGTTGATTGCAACTTGTTCTACATCATCTAGATTTCACACATTATAATGTGCAACTCATTTTCCAATTCATAAATCTAACAAGTCATCTTCTGCTAAAACTTCGAAGAGCCAACAGTTAGGTATTAAGGACCCTATACAGCTAAACCCTTTATTTTCTTTCTCTCTATTGTTCCCCCATTTTCAACCTTCAGTTAAATTGTGCAGTCAACAAGAAAATTCCAAAGTCTTTGTTGTTGTTGATGTAGTAGTAACATGGCTATATAAGAATCCACACACTATAACTCTGTTTTCAACCGCCCTGTTCAATTTAACAATAAATTACAAAGAATCAGACACTTGATAGTGATTGTGCAGACAACCAAAAGTAAACTGAGATTCTGTCTACTGTTACCATTGGGTCCCAAGTTGTCAAGTGCTGTATTAGAATCGTATCCAATTCCATAGAAGCTTTGGAACTCATGGTCCAAAACATTCTGCATGTAAGAGTATCAGTATTTTTCAAAATTGAGAACTAAAGGGTGTTGATTAGAGCAGTGTAAATAGAATATGCACCTAAAAAAGTGTAAAGGGTTTTTACATTATCATTCATTTACAAAAGTTAAGTTTGATGAATTTAACTAACTATCTTAAAAACAATACCAAGGATGATTTCTGATTGATTGTTTTTACTTTGACAACAGTGCATAGAAAGTAAACTCATCAGAGTGTAACGTGTTCAGAGATGTTTAGTCTTTTTACCTGGGGCAAAGGAGGGAATTGTGATGATGTACTAGGCATGCCAGCCAATGTTCCATGGAAATTTCCAGTGGGGAATGTGTGAGAGGAATTGATACCAGGACCATATGCACTAATTCCATGTCCTATGCGTGATTGAAGAATCTAAGTGAAGAGAAATGAAATCATCTTAATTCAATCTGTTAAAATATAGAAAATGGACCAAGAAGGTTAAGGCCTTCACTCACATCCTTGGATAGAATCCTGTCTACATCAAAGTTTAGTTCTGGGTTCACTGTGGCAAGTTTCATGGACAAAAACTGCAAAATATCTCTTTCATAAGTTCACTGACCAAATCACAAAACCATAATAATTGAACAGACAAAAAAGTTGTCATAAAAAATTTTCTTACTATGCACTATTCCCTTTTAAATGGTAAATTGAAATCATAAATTATGACACTACTTTCATACCTCAACCTGTTGCTGAAGTGATTGCACGTAGTTTATTATCTCATCCAGCATTACGGCTTTGCCAGTTATCTAACAGAAACCAAAGACACCATCATGGTTTAACCAAAGAGAAAATTAGTACGCAAAGACATCATCATACTTTCAGAGAAACCATTTAACACAATCACAATATTCAAATCACCTTGTTGCAACCAGGAACAAGTTCTTGAAGCAGCCTCATTCGCTCACTAATCTTTTCTCTTCTCACCTGCAAACAAAAAAGTTGTATAATTAGACAATGAAAAATACATAAAGGATTTCAAACTTTTTCATGACAAATATTGGGGTGAGACAGGGATGGTACTCTTTCTGCAAGACTGTGGCTGTTTGTGGCTTGTCCTCTTCTAGCTCTCACGTGAATGAAGTTTTCTTTAGGAGCTTCTCCACTTTGAGAACTGTTGTCCTTAGCTTGCTTCGCTGATTGCTTGCCACGCAAATCTGCACTGTTGTTCTGCTCAACTTTTGGCTTCTTTTCATGTTCTTTTGGACCATCACAGGCCCTCCCCGGAGAATCTTTCACAGTTTCACTCTCAGCATTCTAATCCAACCTCATAAAGCGTTTCTTTCATTAGCTCTCACAACCACACAAAACAACACCAATGAAACATTCCAAAAGTCCTAAACGAGATAGTATGTAGGACAAAACATATATACACTTGCTTAGATGTTTCTCCTATTGTTCTCTAAGTAAAATTAGAATTTCACTCTGATAATGCATGTTGATCTTAATACAAATCTTTTTGTGTGGATAGAAGAAGTAAAACTCCAATTTAGATGGGAAAACAACACACAAGAAATACTTAAGAAAGTGCATCTAAGTTTTGTCCTTGGAGATATCACATTGAAATGAACAAACCTTATTTGGGCTGAAGGTAGAATTATGATCAAGCCCTCTCTTTCTTCTATTCCCACTAGGACCAGATCCTGGTGCTTCCTCTTCAGGAATTGAATCCTCAACCTGAGATTGTTCACCATTAATCTGAGTGTCCTTGATCGGATTATAATGTGGTGGGTACCCTGAGTTAGCCACATCAGCAGACCCATGCTGGACAAAAGAGGCAGCACCAACCATTTCTGAGAAGCCCCTGCTTGCATAGGAGTGAACCTTGGGGACCATGCCCCCTAGATTTGAGTCAGACATGTATTGAACAAGGTGGGAAGTGTTGGTAATTCCTTGGTTTTCCAGAACAAGAGGGTAAGAAGAGTTGGCATTGGCAAAGTCGGTATGAGAAATCATTGAGGAGCCTCCAAAAGTTTGAGCCTGACTCAAGGAAACAAGTGGATCCCAAGCGGAAGAAGCAAGAAAAGGGTTAGCAACATCAGAAGGCTTGGCCATAGACACGGAACTAATAGCCATTTCTGAAACATTAACATTGGCAACACTGAGACCTGAAGATGGACAAGTCAGAATGTTCTCATTTCCGTGTTGAAACCCCATGGCATTTTCCTGACCCCCCATCTGAACAAACTCGACAGTCCCTAAACAGTCACAACCAAGAAAGTAACCTATTTATATATAATTCACCAATCAATCAGACTCAAACAGTTTCATCACATCAGAGCTGCATCTAGAAATAAACAATAGCATATGATTAAAGGGTAAAGTGAATTTTGACTAAGTTGGCTCGAGAGATATCTTGCAGGACTAAACAAGGAACAAATAACTTGGCAGCTTTATAGGACTGAGAGGAAGTTAAAGTAAAAGAAAACCCTCATTGTGTAGCCTTAGATAAATGAAAAACAAAAGAAAAGGTAAATGGAATATAATCTCCAAGTCAGTCACCAGCTTCGTTTTTTACCTGTTCCTTCAAAAACCCTAAACCAAGATCAAATCTACTGCTTCAATGCTCAGTAAAAGGGGGAAAAAATGCTTCCTCTCAGACAAGAAAGTGAACCTTTCAGTCTTCAGAGCATAAAGCGGACATAGACAGTGAGATTAGCTAACAGCTCATCAAACTACAAGTAAAGCAGATTCCCTTTTCTCCTCTGTCCTCACAACAACATCTAAAACCCCTCATTCCATAAAAAAACATCGGTGTTAAGCAAGATTAGCACTGTCACTAGACGAGTTCTGTGTTGTTGGTGGTGGTGTTTTCTTGCTTGGTTGAAAGTGGAAACACCCTTCTAATTAAGAAGCTCCAACACGAGTGAACAAAAACAAAGTATCTATCTTTTCTTTTTTTTTTCTTTGATTTAAAAGATAGGACAGGAGGGGTTGTTGAAACTCTTGCAATTAAATTCTGGGATGAGAATCCAAGAACAAGGCACGACCAAGGGCATCAAATTCTACTCAAATCCTGCGATGACTGAAAGAGACAGAATTTAGCAGAGTTCCCTTTACTGGGGTGTCTCTGACGGGAGCATCAAATGCTAGCTAGACCAATTTCACCAATTGGGTACTAAGCATAAACATCAAAATGTAGCATAAATATCTAACTTTAATAGATCACAACAAAACACAACACCACCACCACCACCACCCCCAGGAGCTACTGCTACTATCACCAAGCTAGAAAGATAAAGACACACATAGAAGAGAGAGAAAGAAAATATGTGAGTGAGAGGGAGAGAGAGTCTTTTCTTTGTGTACCTGCCCAAGCTATGAGGTGACATGTATCATTTTAAAAGACACACTAACTACTGCCAACTGCTCCTGTTGGTAAATTATTGCACAAGCACAACCTAATCACTCTTTTCTCTTCCCACACTTGTAATCATTTTCAGCTTCAGTTTACCCTAAATTAATATCCATTCTCATTAACCAATGTATATATTTTTTATATTCCAACCATCTTCTTCATCACAACAACAATATAACTATTTCACTTCAACTCCTACCATATATTTTTTCAAAGCAGTTCAAACTCAAGTTTCTATAATATTTTAAGCATAAATCTTCCTTTTTAGGGCGTGTGAGATTTGTTTGCAAAGTGTGAAAAGATGGAGTGGGAGAGGTTCTTCTCTTGAAGGCCAAGCTTGCCCCCCTTTGTATTCATTAACAAACATACTTCTTTAGTATTTTTATTCATTTCTCTTTTTTTTACTGACACATTTGCCAACTGTTCTAAGTAACATAACACATACATATGTATATAAAAAACCATGTATGTGTCTTTCTCTCTCTCTCTTTGCTGTTACACACTCATTTTACTCAGTGCCAACTAACCTCTTTCATTTCTTTTTAGAATCCTCAATTATATGCACCTAACCTCCATCATCCTTCATCAACCTCAGCCACTGTTCATCAACTGTGGACCCCACCAAATCTTCCTTCCAAACCATCCAACCCGTGAGGAGGGGGCCCACAGGGGACACGTGTAGGGCATTGATTCAGAAGGGTGTGAGAGTAGGGTGTGGAGGCAGTTCAGGGTATGATGTCTTGTGTTGTTGTGTGTCTGCTTTAAGAAAGATCATTTTTTTAAGTAATAATAGTGTAATAAAAATGGTGAAGCAGAAAGCTTTTGTTTATTTATATTATTATTGTTATTTGTATGTATATTTTAACTTTGTGGGGGTGTGGAACATAGGGAATAATGGAATCTAATGATCGATTTTACCTTGTTGTCCTGCTCCTACGTTTTCCAGCTGTAGCCTCTGAAGCCTTTGTCCTTCATCCAATCCAGTCAAACCAAAATTATCTAGTCAACTATTGGCATCCTTGTGTTGTGATCTTGCTGGAAAAACTCCCAAAACAATAATAATAATAATAAATAAAAATACCAAATCAACAGCTTATTTTCTCGACAGTCATCATCAGATCAAGAATGAGACCCTGCATAGTGTCAAATAAAATTATATAATTTTTCTTATACCTGAAAAAAATAATATATAATATGCATGGGACCAAGTGTTTTTTTTTTCTTTATGATTTGTTTTGGTTATAGGAATATAGGATTGGTAGGAGTGTGTGTGATCTATGGACATGGGATCTGTATTTTTGTTTATGCTTTCTTTCATGATACAAGATTTTGAAAGGAAAAGAAGAGTACAAAGAAGATAGATATGAGAGAATCAATGAATTACTGAGTTTTGCTTTAAAATCATTCTTATAAAATTTAATGACTTTATTATCATGCAGTTTATATTTGAATGGTGTTAAATAAATATACTACGAATTTCACAAGTGCAACGACTTTTATTATACAAACATTCAAATAGGTATATTTGTTTAACATTATAATGTGTGAACAAATACAATTACCTATACATATGAATTTATAAAATTAATTTCGTATACTTTTTAGAAGATGAAATTTATAACATATAGAACATGGGTATTGTTAATAATATGGCTCTTGAGTCTATTCTAGATATGCACAATTATATACTCGTCTTTCAATAAATGAATTTCGTAGTTACAAAACCATAACAAACAAATAATCTTAAGCTACTATTCTTATATCCAAGTATGTATGGTCATAAGTCATAAATTGTCTCTCAATTTTGATATATTTTATAACTCAAATAACATGATACCTCGTTGCATGGACACTTAATTCTCCATGAATCTTCCCTGGAGCTGATAATTGACACATTCACCAATTTTTCAATACACAATACCTTGGTTTATTTGATGTTATTAATAAAAATTTGAATATTATAATTCAATATTTATAATAATCTCGTGCATTATAATACCTATAAATAAAAATATAAGGGGTCTTTTTAGTGAAACTTGAGTGTTTTATTATTAAAATACCAATCTGATCATTTTAAAAATAACATTTTCTCTCTAAAACTATTCATTTTACTTTCTTTGATTTTTCTTTAAGATTTTGAATATTCAATTTTCTTTTGAAAATTATACTTAATACCTATCCGATCTATTATTAGTCAGACAATCAACCCTTTATTAAGTAAATCAGATTGAATGGTATAAACATGGTGAAAATCGATTAGTTGAAATGAAGGAGATTAATTCAAAAAACATCTCATTTAAATGTTAAATCACAATTAGTCATATTTGAACCCTAATTAGGCCGACCTTAATAAAAAAAACTCATCACGAAGTTTATAAATAGTTGTTAGATGTAGGTTACACATTAATTACACAATTATTGTCCTTATAATCTGAATCAAATTGATTTTGGGATCGAAGGACCTTCGGTAAGTACCCATAGACTAATGTTTGATGAACAAGACTTGGATTTGTGAGCGACCAACTAAAGATCGACCAGTTGGACATAAAGACACGACCCCGTACTCGAAACAAAAATTAATTAGAGTCCACCACAAAGATAAAAAAGGATTGGTTATTGGATGAGTCCAGTCCTATAGAACGAACCTCTCCCAGTGGTTGATTATTGGCCGAACTAATTTGCTTGTTATATGTGCTGTTTTGATAAGAACTTTCAGAGATTGCTCACTCAGTAAGCAAGTGATCTCGTTGGCAAGTAAGATCTCTAGCTGAGCCAAATAGTATTTAACAAACTTTTGATAAATATATTTTAAATACTTCTAAAATGTTAAAAATTGTTGGTTTCTTATATATTTTCGATAAATGATTGAGATTGATGATCTTGTCTTAGATAAATGAATAATTGAGATCAAAAGTTGAGATTTATGATGTGTGAGGTCGAGTAAAGTCAAGGAGTTGTGCATATAATCTACTATTTGTGGATGTTAGGTTGAGTAAAGTCAAGAGGTGGTGGTCATAATCTAATGTGATTTGTTGGTGTGATATATGTGAAATGTGAACGTAGTTATTTTCGAGGAAGAAATATTGTGTTAAAATGTTTTAGGTTCTACATTGAATGATGATTTAGAAAGAGATTATTCTGATTCTACTAATATTGGATTCGTAAAGAAAAAGATATTAGGTAACGAGAGTTAATGTAGGTTCTTGTGACTTATAGTATGGTGTGAAAGAAAAAATGTATCTAGTAGCTTATAAATAATTTACCTTGTTATATGAGGATGACCTTGTTACTAGTATATATGTAGCTCTGTGTAATGTCAGTAGTTAATGATATGAAAGATAACTATTTAGAGTAATATGTAGTAACACTTATTACTATAAATGATGTGGAGTGACTTATAAACGTATGACACTTACCATTACAGCTTCTATAAAGAGTTTTACAAGCTAACGCCACAAAAGTATTTAATGCATATAGTATTATAAAATTAAATAAATAAATAAAAATATGTTGAAGTGAGCATAGGAAGAAGTCATGGACCTACTTGAAAATGTAGCACATGCACATTAATGTGATCGTAAACCGTCTTAGTGAAGCAATAAGGGATTGATTGATACACTAATTCTAAAATATATTACATATCATCACTCTTGCACTTTAGCTTATAGATTTTATTTTTTTAATTATTCATTAGTTTTTAGTTACATCAGAGTTTATCTTCACCTTAATCATGCATCTGCCAATTAGTTCTTAATCTATCACTATAATCATAACAAAGTCTGAACCCTAGAGTTTGAGGTGTACTTTTGCTATGTAAAAAAACTGAAAAATCATGTCAACCAAAATGAAAAACTAAATTCCCTGTATTACAAAAATGAAGTAAAAACAATAGGAAAGTTTCATGTCATTAAAACATGAACAAACTTATAAGAAATCAATAAATTGTTTAAAAATTAAAATTTTGAGACACTCGATTTGTAATTATTATTTTTTGTATATTATTCGTTGTTATTTAAAACTTTTAATTTTTATTAAATTTTTAATTATATCTTCTTCAAGGTAAGTTATTTCAATTTTTTTGAGAATAAGTATCTTAGTGATAACTTTATTTATATTATTATTTATATCTTAGTCATTTCAAATTGTTATATATATATATATATATATATATATATATATATATATATATATATAAACATGTGTAATCACTGTGTGAGCTACTGAATTTGAATAAATACTATACTTTACTCTATAATATAAGTATCTTGTATATACTCAACAAAATCATATAGTTTTACATAGCAATCATCTATATCATATTCCCATAATCTGATGTTTATTATTTTATGCATGATTGCACATAGCAAGGTGGTTTCAGCTACATATGAAAAAGTACCTATAGGAGATAAACAAGGTTTTTATATACTTAACAAAGAAAATACGGTTCCGGTGAGATTGAACAGAGAAGGTACAGAATAGTTCATAATTTACTATGATCTTAGTTCAACTTACCAAAATTAAATATGTGGGCCATTTTATTACGATGTTCATTCGATAATCTACTTTTCTGGACAGACAACTAGTTACATCGGAAAACGATTGCAATAAAAGTTAGAGACAGTCAAATAGAGACAGAAGAAAAACAATATGAGTGCTGTTACGATAATATAATTTAAATAATAATAATAATAGTAATAGTAATAATCTTAACTCTTAAATCGTAGTTTTATATCATTGAAACTCTTTAAAATATCTAACATATGCCTACAGGATAATTTTTCTGCTTACCACTTTCAATTTTTTTTTAAATATGGCTCCAATTTTCTTGAGTACTCAAAATCGTTCTTACCATATTTATGCGTAAAAAAAAAAGATAATAATATTTAAACCTCTTTGGTGGGAAAATTATTCTTGAAACACCTCCACACAAGGTGTATTGC